GCAATCTGACAGAATCTCAGTTTGGCTGATTTCAAGATGCTGAAAATCTTGGGTAAAATCTGCAATACCCTTTAGATTATTTAATTTCTGAAAGGGTTTAAATCTAATTCTGCTCATTGTTAAAAGCACTTAGGTATCTCTGTGCTTTTTCCTTTTGAATAATGAGATTTTTGTTCCTGAAAGTCATTGATAGTGAAACATGTCACCCTTGATGCATAATTCAATTAATAAAGCACATCGTGTTTTTGAAGGTAATGCAAAAGTCAGTGTTGTTTAAAGGTGTTTAATTGAATGGTGACAAGCTATAGCTCCTCATTTACTTTATAATGTGATACAAGAATAATTTATGAACATGGACCTGAAAGGATCTTCTGGGTCACTGAGTTCACCCCCACTGCTGCAAATTAATGTGCACATCTCCCAAGTCTACAGCTTTAAGTAATCCAAGATATAAATGCAAACCCACAGTAAACAGAACCTAATCTATACACAGAGGTTTCTATAACACTACTGTGCTCTGTCATGAATTCAGCCCTGGTATTTTGGTAACAACCAACAAACAAACACCCACTGAACAGATGAGGATTCTGGTGTCTGTCATACATGTTGTCTGTTGGCTAATGGTCAGCAATGCCTCCTCATCCTCATCATCCTCTCCAGGGAGATGGACAGTCATACATCAAGTGTAGCCTTTCTGGTCAGCATATTATGAGTCCCCTAATGATCCACACTCATTTTATACCCCAGAGACAGAAGTGAATGGATCCACCACCCTTGTATTGTAGCTCATTGTTTTTTGTCAAGCAATGGCAACTGGATTACTGTTTTCCCCAGCCCAGCATTTAAAAGGTGAAGAATGGCTCTTGTGCCCTCCTTAGACATAGAGGACATTTTCAGTTGTGAAGATCAGGCTCCAAAAACGGGTAGTGCACTAATCGTTCATTACCTGTTGTATGAACCTAATTCTGCTTTCAGAGAGTCCAAATAACAACTCTGAGGTGTATTATCTTAGAAAGATATGAATCAATTTAAATGAAAAAGACCACCCAAATTATTAAGTCACTGTATAAAGAATATGAGTGATATTAGAAAGTCTAGGACTGGAAATGCCTCAGTGCTAAGAAAAATTAACATTCAAGTCCCAGTAAATATTTAAGTTCACCTACTTCATGGTGTGCAGCTAAAATACTATTCCACACTGTTATTAAAATCTCATGCCAGAATTTAAAGCCTGCCACAGGACCTCTGTCCCAAATAGAGGGCTGCATTACTTTTATGTGCAATTCCTTATTTCTGTATATTGTTCTGTAGGTTTTTTTCTTCTGGATACTTGGCTGCTGTGTTAAGGGGGGTTAGTGAATATGGAATAGACTTGCTTTTGCCAAAGTGCCTAAGATATCATTTAAAAAAGAAAAAAACAACCAAAAACCAAAACCAAAACAAAACAAAAAACAACAACAAAAACAAACAAACAAAAACCAAAATCAAAAACCCAAACAAAACCAAACCCTACCACAGTAGAGTTTTGTCTTAAAAAAAAAAATCCCTTGAAAACTAGCTTTGATCAATCACTTCTTTCTGACTTTTTTTCCCCCGTCAAATTCAAGAGCAACAGAATAGGTTTCAGTGCTTTTTATTGCATTTGCTGGTTTAGTGTCGTTTAAATGGGAAATAAAGCAATTCTGCTTTATCTGCACGTGCAAAGGCCCGGCCTCAAATTCATGAGAATGAGATTGCACAAATACTCAAAAGACATCACAGTAATTTTCAAATCTTCATTTTCACAATAGCTTTTTTCAAAATTTCAATTTTCAAAATCGTCTTCTCAGAAAGGGAAGAAACTCCAATCAAAATTCCAGGATTTATAAATAAGGACTCTGTGCACAAAGGAACTCTATGTTTGCCATACAGTGTCATGTGCAAAAGCATGACGTGCAAAAGCACATGAGGGTCACCCCAAGGATTATGTGATATGGAACAAAACAAAATGTTCATTTCCTACAAGAAAAGCATGTCAGAAAAACCCTATATATTTCCAAAGCCTTCGCTTTTTGGTCTCCAATGTCTTATCAAATCTAGAAGAGGGTATTTTTACCCTCATTAAATCTATCTTTCCTGGGCATGCAGTGGTAGTCCTCATTGAACTGCAAAGCCTACCATGAAGGAGATTTACTTTATATTGAGAGAGCTCATCTTGCAACAGAATGTTAATGCAATATGATAGGCAAGTTTTTTATTTTTGGAGAGCAAGAATATTTGAATGAACTTTGCTAAATGCTCACACTGCATTTATTGGCGCTTTACTCTTACTCTTGCACACATGTGCATTAGATACCAAGGGATTGAAAACAATTAAAACCAGCCCAAGATAAGGACCATATTCAGTGACATTGCCCGGTGCTTCAAAGCTTAAAGAAGCTTTAAGCCCATTGTACTGGGCCCAAAGTAGAATTCATGGCTAAGATTTAATTAAACAAAGACCTTCAGGTCCTCAGCCAGGTCCAATTCACTGCAAGAGGTTTCCAACCAGTTTCTAATCTATTTAAGAGAATCTTCAGCCTCTTTGAGACTAACACTGTGAATGGCAGAAATGACAGAAATGTTGACAAGGCAGACTTGTTTCTATTATGACTTCCTTAATCAGACAGGAAGGGAAACAGTTCAGGTAACTTCTTCTAACCTAACTGAGAGAGAGGTTAGAAGAAAAGGGCTTTATAGAGCTGGATATATATCTACTGCCTGCAACTCAATTCAGGTGGCATCCCATGCTTGTTACTCAAGAGTCACAAACTGTGCTGTAAAAGATCCCAGGAGCATTTTGCTCCTCGCAGTTTTAAAGGATTGCATGCCTCTCAATTCAGGTGGGAAGTTCCAGATTCAGGGGAGGTGTCCCAGCAATTTCTTTTGTCTTCCCAAATCTGCATGGTTTTGATCTTTTTCTGGTAGTGTCAGACCACCTTCTTAGCTTTTATTTCTTCCAATCCCTAGCAGAGCTGCAAAGCAGAGCACTTCTTTGTTACTTACCTGCTGAAACTTCTCTCTGAGACCACACTATTTACCTCGGTTGGAGACATGGCTTATTTCCCAGATGTAAAGAAACTGACACTGGCTCTCTGTTACAATTTTGCTGGTCAAAAGCAATGGCTACAACTTGCTTAAATTGTTAACTCACTCCAGAATAACTTAACTGATTCTGGTCAGAGAAACAAATTAAATACTGATGATACCCAGACTGTAGATACTGAGTGCCTAAAATGAAAAATGGTCCAATTATCTAAAAAAAACAACCCAAAACCCAAACCAAACCAAAATGCTGGCTAGGGTGGTGAAAGAGTTGGACAGGACGTAAATAGGTAATTTTAAGGGATGCTGGTTATTTGGTGTTCTGGTGCTATATCTAACAAGTTTAAATGCTTAAAATAAAACTTGTCTCAGCTTCACACTTTATAGTATGCACCTTGCTTCCATGAGAGCAAAGAACCTGGGAAATTTCCAACAATTTGTAAGTTTGTTTCTGGTGCTGTATCTCCATTACACCTGATAACCATGCAGCAATGACTAGTGAGCTTGGCTCTGTTCTGGTGAAAATGCTATAGAGAAGACCCATGTCATTGTCCTAAAGGACAGGATTAATCTGAGAGAGCCATATCCATTTATACAGTAATGAATGTCTGAAATAATTTGTTGTGTATAACATTTGTGTATGTAAATTAATGCTTTAAGGCAGGATTTGGAAACTAACAGGTTGGATTTTCAAAGTGACAAAAAAATCCAGATTGGTTCGTCACTGATGAATCTGCTTTCTTACTCTGGTTTATCTAGACCCTGTTTAAGGAGTTGATCTAGAACGGCTACTTCTTTTATTCTGGAATGGCTAGTCCACAGGAATAATTTTTGGGAATGTCACTGCAGAACTGTGTTTCCATTCCACCACACTATTGAAAGCTCTACAGCATATTTCCACACTAATGCCTGCATCAAAATTGGACATTTCAGGGGGAAGGCAAAGAGCAATGATGGACTACTGGGTAATAAAAAATAGACTGAAGCCCAACATGGATAACATTTCATTTTATTGTTTTGCTGTTTTCTCCTGAAGGTAAATGCCTTTGTGAAGACCATTTTATATGTCTTTTTCTTTCAGAGATAGATTGCTTGATAGGTATTTTTGTTTTTCTCTGTATTATTTACTCCTTGTCATGAGAAGCTGGGATCTTAAATCTCAGAAAGCTCTCCTTTAAATATGTGCCTTGCCTGAAGAGGCAGAGTTTTACCTCTGTTGAAGGAGCACTTCCCCAGGGCTACAAAAGAGAGCATCGCCCTCCAGCTCCGCTGCAATCCCTCCTACCTACAGCATCCTACTCCCTGTCCAGGCACAGAATAATGAGTCAGGTGGGCCTTCGGGTCTGACTATTTAAGAAGCTCTTGTTTTTTGGAATGGTTCTGGGAGCTGGGTAGAGGCTGGCAGGGTTTGGTTCCCTCAGACAAAATTCGTATCTGAATTGCTCTCTGATGCATACATGGAAGAAAAGGTCAGTCAGAGAATCCATGCACAGCCTGGGGTCTCTCCCGGGCCTCGGCAGGTGTCCCACAGCCGCCCCCAGCAGCTGCACCGAGAAGCTTTTGGCTCCAAGGGCAACAGCCGGTGTAGAGCTTGTAGCTCTTTCCTTTTCTATTCCTTGTGACGTGATTTTGAGCTTTGCCCTGTGTTCGTCCTCTTTCTTACCCAAGGGACTCATAAACACCTTCCCTGTGGCATGCGAATGATGAGGAGCTGGTGCGCCCCTTGCTCCCTGCAGCGGCATCCCGGAACCCACCGGTTCACGCGGGGGATGGGATGTCCCCGGTTAGCCCACGACGGGTCTGGCTCAGCGGGAGCTCCTCGTAGAGCTGCCCAGGGGTCACGCAAGCGGCAGGCGGGAAGGGTGCAGGAAAGGGAGTTTTCCTCCTTCTCCTTGGCCCCCGCTCCCGGCCCTAGGGAGGGGCCATCCCTTCCCCGCCGCTGCCCCCGTGCAGCGCCCAGTCCCCCGGCAGCCGGGGCGGCCCCTCCGGCGTGTCCCGTTGCCGCTCGAGCCGGGCCGGGGCGGGGACACATCCCGCCTCCGCCGCTTTCGGGGGCGCCGCGTCCCGCTGGCGGCGCCTCATGGCGCGATGCAGCTGCAGTGGGAGGGAGAGGAAACCCACCCCCCTCGCCCGGCGGCCGCCTTTGTAAGCGCTCGGCCCAGCTCAGCGCGCAGCGGCTCGGGGAGCGCCGGAGCGCGGCGGCGGGAGCAGATGGAGCCGGAGGGTAAGGCTGCGCCCAGCGCCCCGCGCCCCGGCCGCGATTCTGAGGGGGCCCCGCGCTGGCCCGTCCCGCTCTCGGCGGAGGCCGCGGCGGCCGCGGGGAGCCGGGCCGGGAGCGGGGCGGCGCAGCGGTCCCGGCGGGCCGCGAGGTCTCTGTGGCGCGGGCGGGGAGGCTGTTTGCCGGGCCGGCCCCGCTCCAGGTGTGCGGGACCCCCGCCGCCGCCTCCCTCGCTACCCTCCCCTTGCCGGCTGGCGGGCGGGCGCGGCCCCTCCGGCTCTGCCGGCGCCAGGGCCCCGCTCCGCCCGCGCCCTCGGCGGGGAGCCCGGGCCGGGCCGCGCCGCCGCGGGGAGGCGGGGGCCCAGCGCAGCAGCTCGCACGGACTTGGGGGCATGCTCAACTAACTTTCTTTAATTGATTTTTTTCTTTTCGTTTCTCGCCCCCGCGAGCGCCTGGCGCGGTTCTGATGTATACCCATGGCCCGGGGAACCGGCCCGCCCTGCCAAGGCTGGACCCGCAGCGGCGCCGGCCGCGCTACCCGCGGGGCTCACCCCGCGCTGCCCCCGCACTCACACTGGACCCGGCGTCCCTGTGCGGCTCACAATGGCCAGGGAATCCATGTTGGAGTAAATGCAGCACTGAGCTGTGTAAATATATTTTTAGTTCTCCTAAAACCACACAAAATCAGTTCTCTTAAACATTCATTTCATTAAGACTGCTATTAACTGTAGAGATTACATTTATTTCCTGCCAATCCATATTTAGGCACTTATGAAATGCTGAGGTTTTTTCCCCTTCTCTCATTTTTAAATACCTTTTGGAACTGTTAGTACTTTAAATGTAAACAATTTCCAGTTGCAAATTGGAAATCTCTGAACCATAATGATCTGTTATGTTTAGCTGGCTGTCTCTGTAAAACCATCATTCTCGTGGGGAAAAAACAAAAACAAAACAAAAAAAAAACCAAAAAAAACCCAAACCAAAACAAAAAAAAAACCCCCCAAAAAACCAAAAAAGAACAAACAAACAAACAAACAAAACCACAAAAAAACCCAACCAAAAGACAGAAACAAGGAAGGAAAGGGGGGAAAAAGCCCGAAAACCCCTTATGAGATTTATGTTTAGAAAACTGGCCACATGCATTGTAGCTGTTTTTTAAACCTCAGTACCTATGTCACACTTTCCATTCCAAATATTAAGAGTGGTATAACTATGTTAAAGGGATATACTCTACTTTCCATTGCAAGCTTTAGGGAATTTTAAAACAAAGGAAAACTGCTCTGCAACATAAAAGAATCTTGCAGTGCCTGAAACACAGTGGCACCGTGGAATGGGAGAGACTATTGGCAATTGTTAATGAGCAGAATTGGTTTTGTTGAGAAGCATGGAGAATGGAAAGGGGTTATGTACGGTGACCAATACATTGATCAAAAGGGTTCTTGCATTCTTTAGAAGAAGTTTGTCTTTCATAGAAAGCTGTTTTTCACAGTGCTAGGAGGATGGTTTAGAGTTCATACTCCATCTAGCAGAGTTGTGTTTATAATATTCCTTGAAATAAGCAAGCTGGGTTGTTCCTGATTGAGTTCATTTGTGACCCAGTTATTAATGTTGTAAGTGTTGTTACCTTAATAACGCTAAAGAAAAGCTATAAAAATGAAATTGAGTTTGAAGGAATTAATTTTAAAGAAATAAATTCTTATTTTTAAAAAGTAGAAGTTTTCTGCCCTGCTTTTACCTGCAAAACTGGATCAACCTAGGAAAGATTATTGTGAGTTGCAGAGCTGCTGAAGTTCCCCACCTGCCCTGGATCCAGAGATATTCGGGCAATCTGACTTCTGGAACCTCCTGAACTATTTGCCTACCAATCTTCAGTACATTAATTTTTAGAGGCTGGTCCTCCCACGTGGGTTGGACCCTGCAGTAGCTGAAATGCCCATGTTAGCAGTCTCCTGCTCTGTTAGTGAGAGAGACAGGGTTCTCATGTCAGTTGCTTGTAGATTGCAAAATAAGCAGTAATTGCAATGTCAGTTGCTTGTAGACTGGTGCAATATTTGTCCTTCTGTATGTGTGTGTTTGTTATTTTCTTGAGTGTGGTACATCTCACTGAAGAGCATCAACCAGTGAGCTTTACTCCTGTTTTCAGAGTCAGGGGACTCAGAGTATGGTGATATAAGGGAAATCTGTAGAGCTTGCTTGCTCTTGTGGCTCTGATCTCATGTGCCCTGCTTGCATAGTCCTGGATGGAATAATTCTTGAATAGAGTTGGAATTGCACAGCTTCTTGCATTTAAATGCATGTTTAAAAATCTTGCTGAAAGTGGAGAGCCAGGGCTTTCTCTTTCCAGAGGACCTTTGCCTCTTGCTGAGTATGCAGATCTAAGGCCTGTCAGGTATCTTCCACAGAGGCAGGGAAGAAAGATGGAATTGATACTAGGTTGCCCTTTCCTTAAGGAAATCCAGTGTAGTGGACTAACGCTATAGCAATACTGACCAACACAATTCTTGTGGATGCCTCCCCAGCTCCGAACATTGGCTGAGGTGATAATGTAGGACAAGGTCGGGACTGTAGAGTGTATTTGGTCTTGGAGTGTCTCAGAGGTGCAAGAGAGAATATTTCATTCAAAACAATAAAAGCAGTAGAATCATAATGATGATGGTCTTTGTGGCTTTTTGTGTGGAATGAGCTTCTGTAGTGTGATCCATTCAAATAGGGAAGACTGCCTTAGGTCAGTAGTGGTGGAAGTAGGATGTTGAAACCTTGTGACACTATGAGCGACAGAGTTGGGAAGTCACAATCCCAGGTGATGATTTTTCAGTCGTGCATTGGTTGCACTGCTGTGTTTTCAAGGCAGTTTTTGTGGCTGAGTTTTCCAAAGTATTCTAATGGTTTTATACTCTGAGTTCCTTGTTCAGGTTCAATGTGTTTGGTTTTGAGGAAGCTTTGTTCTCAAGCAAGCTATGTGAGGTGGAGTGGTCTGGGCAGTGCTGCTCTCTGAAATATGACCTAAAGTCCAACTGTTTCCTACTGGTTTTCAATGAAAAATGTACAGCTAACTTCTGCAGGAAGTTTTGGGAACACCTCTGTCTTCCCATGTGTGTCTGTAAGCTCAAAAACACTGAATGTTTCTAGCTGAAGTGTGTCTGTTCCTGCTGACCAAGCTCAGTAATTATGGATGCATAGCTTTTTTCCCAGATTGTCTAGTCCTTTTTTTTTTTTTAGGGATCTTGATAAGATTGTTGGAGATCAATAATGGTCCTGCTTTGGTCAGTGAGTGTGACCAAGGGTTCTGTGTGAGAATTGAAAGGGCAGGAAGTATACATGCAGCAATGATGTTATTAATGCTTTAGTTCCCCTGACTGCGCACTGGTTTCTGCTAAAGCTCTGAACTAGTGAAATGATTTTGAGTAAGATTAATTTTATTTTTCAAGCTGTTTTGTTGAAATTTACATTTTAATTTTTAAATTTAAATTTTTCATTTACCGAGAACTCAATTTGAAACTAAAATAGGTGACTGGTAAAACCTAAGTAATGAACATTTCTAGCTCCCTGGATACAGATATTGTGTTAGACATTTGAGCCATTGATTGTGTAGATGTTAACTTGTTTGAGTTGAGTGAACAGTGGCAGATTAAAATCAGTAATAACTACTGTGGTATCCATTTGTATTGTCATTATCAGATTTTAATGTGAAATTTGATATTTCACTTGAGAGACTGACAATGACTTGCGATTCTTACACAATGATGAATATTGATACTCTTTTGAAAATATGTCTCTTGCTCCAAATTCTCTGAACTAGCTGAAAGTTCCTTTTAAGTAAAAAATAATGTGACTTCATGTATTCTTCAGATGTGGGACCAGAGCATATTTCATAACCTGAGCTAAGATTGACTTGGACATGAGTGAGAGAGAGGAGGGGGAAAGTAGGAGAAAGTATCATTGAAGTCCTTTCCATTATGTGACAGCTCTTGACCCATGCTTCGTGCCCATCACCAGCTCTCAGGGCGCTCATTTTTTTTGTCCTCTGCCAACAACTTTGAACACCCGTTGAGAGCTGAGCGTGGCACCCCCGAGCACAGGACCCCAGACCTCCATGGTGAAAATGTGTATGAAATTGAAAATAGATGTCTGCAGCTCAGTGTTGCGTTCTCTGGAGCATTTGGGAGGCAGTCAAGTCACAGAACTTGAAACTCTGGCTGGTTTGAAGATTATGAATGGTGACATTCGAGATGCCTTTGTTGGTGGAACAATAGTGAGGTATACTGGAAAGTGCTTCCAGGAGAACTTTTTTCCCCTCCCTCTACTCTCCCTCCTCCCATTCACAGCCAGCTCCTAAAAGCAAGGCTTATTATAACTTGATTTACATTTTACACTTTGTAGCATCTTAAAATTTTATGGGTCTTTGGGTTTTATTTCACAATTTGTGGCTGTTCATTCTGTCTGTGCTGCTTGTAGTTAGGAGTTCCTGATATCACAATACCGAGTGTTTGCTTTACCTGTGTACTGAGCGAATGCTGTGCCAGCTGTGCAGAGCAGATGTGCTGGTACATGGTGTCCCTGCCCGTGATGCTAATTGGAGTGACAGACTCATGCTCATCTCCACTCCCTTAGTGGTGTGGCCATTACTTTTTCTGGCAGTGGTCACCACGTCCTTCTCTGAGAAATACCCAGGTCTGCAGCTGTGGTCTGGCTTCTCAGGGTTAACTTGTTGAGTTTAAGTGACATTATTTAAAGCACATTGCTTCTGTGGTCCCTGATCACTGCCTCACAAAATGCTGTTCTCCCTGCCTTCTGGTTTTACTGTTGCTTTTTTGTCGTTCTGTGAAAGAGTTTATTGATATTACCTGCTTCCTTGTTTTCTGGGTTGCACTTTTCTTGCTATTTGTCTGGGGTTAAGACCCTTGTGTGGGACAGAAAGCTAATTATTTAACTACTGTGAGAGAGCTAGGTGAAGAATTGAGGTGGAAGCCTGAAAAGTGGAGGTTGTTGACATAGCATAATCTCCA